AGGGTGACATTAAAAAAACAAAAAGCCTACTTACTATGTCACTGCAGTACATGCATACAGTATTTCCTGTGATTTACACCAGATGCAGTCCAGTGCGTTTTTAATCTGCATCAAAGACGCATGGACGGTGTTCTCCATGGATTCCAATGGCCCTTGGTCACACAAGTGCAGTGCGTTCCTGTGCAGTCTATGAAAGTAGAACGTTTTGCATTTTTTTCTGCATGAAACCTATCTGGAACAGGATCAAAAACGTATCAAAAATGCACATGTCCTCAAATGAGATTTTAAAAAATGGGGGGGAGGGGTAAACACACTGGAGCGCATTAAAAACATGCATGCTAAAAAGCATCTGGAATGCAGCATTTGTGGTGTGAACTGGCTCTAAATGCCCAGCAAATACAGAAACGCACCCGCTGATCTCCCAGAAATGCCGTCCCTTTTGTGTGCTGACAGTCCGCGCATTTTTGTGGTCAGCCCCGCCCAGTATTTCTTTTTTGTTAAATCAATTATCAGTTGTGGGTGTAGGATTGTAACTTGTTTTTATGGTTGAACTGGATGGACTTTTGTCTTTTTCCAGACGAACTATGTAACAGAAACCCTTCCCGCATCCTTTTTTTTTTCCCACAATATAGACACACCCAAGCGCTGGCATCCGTTGTGGCAACGCACTCACGTTAACGGGCGCTGTGTTAGGTAGTCCGTTTAAAATGAATAGACTGGAAACTGACCTCAGAAGACTGGCCTGTGTCTTTTCTGGCAGTGCAATGCACCGCAACCCACCAGTATGCTGCTAACCTCCATCAGCAAGAGGCATTGAGGTGGCACTACGAATGAGTCGCACCACAGCGCGCTAAGGCCACATTCACACCATTTCTGGAACACGCTGCAAACTCATGTCACATTTCTTTCTTTCTTTATTACAGGTACTTATAGAGCGCCATCAATCTACGCAGCGCTTTACATATATATTGCACGTTTGCTTCAGTCCCTACATTTCACGGTCCCGTTAATGGTTAATGGCACCACAAGCGCCGGTAGCAATCGTGCATTTTTCCACGCTACAAATGAGCTATGGTTTGCTTCGAAAAAAGTTTTGGAGCTACTTTAGGTCATGGGTTGTACATAGGGAAGCCCATTCTAGTAAATGCGCCGCCCTATACGCCAAGAAAGGCTCCAAAAAAATAATGTGTGAAGGGATGCGAGTTCCTGCTGCGCTCAGATGTGAACAGGTCACACATACCACAGTGACCTGCGTTTTACTGCACTGGAGGAATGCAGATCACCACTAGGACACAGAATATAACTGGTAACTGACATGCAGCCCGGGTTCACACTGATGCGGTGCGGAATTCGCAGCGTTTTCTGTACGAATTCTACACCGCATCACAATCGCAGCCTGTTCGTGCGAACTGATGCGGATGTGTATGTTAAGTTAAGAACACCCCAAAAGCAGTCCACAAAATGCAGAATCGGATCGCATGGGTGTGAATACCCATGCGATCCGATTCTAGTGCGGACCAAAAAAAATGGTCCTGCACGTTTTTGGTGCGGGTGCAGTGCGATTAAAGTCATACAAAATGTACGGCTCCGATCGCACTGCACACAAATCGCATGTGATTTGCACAGGAATACAGTGCGGTTCCTGTGCAAATCACATGCGATATACCACACCACACATATGTGAACCCGGGCTCATAGGTAAAGTTGATCCAGGGAATGCCCAATTGCCTCTTGGGGGATCCGGAAGGATTTTTTTCCCCTGTAGTAGCAAATTGGATCAATTGGGGTTTTTTTTTTTGCTTTCTCAGCCGATCTTTTTATTGATTTTAAAAAATGCGCTTGAGCAGTGTGACCAGCAAGAAGAAGAAAAAGCAGAAAAAGAGAAATAGAATATGACTAAGAAGAGGAAAAAGAAGAAATAGAATATGAATAAGAAGAAATAGAATATGAATAAGATAAAGAAGAAATAGAATATGAATAATAAGAAGAAATAGAATATGAATAAGAAGAAATAGAATATGAATAAGAAGAGGAAAAAGAAGAAATAGAATATGAAGAAGAAGAAAAAAAAAGAATTTCAGTCTGATATTATATTTGACATTTAAAAGTATAGCAACATTGTATCTATTTGTATCCATTTTGGATACAGATGTTTCTATTCGGATACAAACAGATACAATGTTGCTATACTTATAAATGTCAAATATAATATCAGACTGAATTCCTTTTTTCTTCCTCTTCTTCATATTCTATTTCTTCTTCTTCATATTCTATTTCTTCTGTTTCTGCTTCTTCATATTCTATTTCTTCTTTTTCTTCTTATTATTCATATTCTATTTCTTCTTTTCTTCTTCTTCATATTCTATTTCTTCTGTTTTCTTTTTCATATTCTATTCTTTTTTTCTTCTTATTATTCATATTCTATTTCTTCTTTTCTTCTTCATATTCTATTTTTTTCTGTTTTTCTGTTTCTTCTTCATATTCTATTATTTTTCTTCTTATTATTCATATTCTATTTCTTCTTTTTCTTATTCATATTCTATTTCCTCTGTTTCTTCTTCTTATTCATATTCTATTTCTTCTTTTCTTCTTCTTATTCATATTCTATTTCTTCTTTTCTGCTTCTTATTCATATTCTATTTCTTCTGTTTCTTCTTATTATTCATATTCTATTTCTTCTTTTTTTCTTATTCATATTCTATTTCTTGTGTCAAATATAATAGCGGAGCTCTCTGCAGGGACACCGCTATTATATTTGCTGGCCGTAGACGGGACGAAAATCAGCTGACTTTTTTTACTAATGGTGGTAACGTCGGCCAATTGAACGACCGATTTTTCATTTTTCTAAAAAAAAAAACGGACGGTTTTCTCCCCGTCTATGGCCTGCATAACTATGTAACATAGAAAACAACTGTTTTCTGTGTGTCCTGTTCATGCCAAAATGCTGTTGTCGTGTGTAGTGTGGTGCGTTGAGTTAAAATGCTTGTGTATGCATTGTAACAAAACGTAAATGCACATTTCTGCAATGCAAATTTATTGAGAAAAAGAAAAAAATAGCTTTTGATATTATTATTATTTTGTCCCTTACAAGGACCCATAGCAAATGAATGCGCATAAAAATGCACACCAACGGAAGGCAATGCACATCAATTTATTTAGCATTTTTATGCCTTTTAATGCATGTTTATGTGTGAACAGGCACTAATGCAAGTAGCATGCAATGTTAGTTGTTGCAGGCGCACACACGGAAACATGCGTGTTCCTGCAACATTGCAATGGGCACCAAGCTTTATTATTCTGTAGTCCAAGATAAGAACTAGGAGGGCTAAATGGACTCATTGAGATGACGCAGGAAGTGTGCACAGGAGAGCTCTGAATTTTTTGGTTATTAAACAGATATAACAAAATGCTTCCCATGGTATATTTAACCGAGCAAGAGAGCGCAAACAAGGGAAGTCGATTGTTAGAGTTTGCATACACTTTAATCAGTAAGCACAGCGTGAGTGTTGTATACATTGTTACGCACTTTGGGGTGTATTTATAAAAAAAACAACTATTCTTTCATAAAACCGCATGCAAGTTTGTTCCATACGAATAGGGTAAACTAATGTTCTCAGACTATAAATCGAACGTTTGAATAGATAAAATACCACATTATGGCCACTAGATGGCGATGAAGAGCATACTGCTTTCCTATGGTAGTCAGAGCCATCTAGGGGCCACAAGGTGATACTTTCCCCATTCACACCTTTGATCTACAGAGAATACAGCCTGAGAACATTCAGTTTTTTCCACAATTCGCACAGAACGAATGTACAGGCAGTTTTAATAGATGAAAACAATGTGAATTTTATGTAACTACACCCCCTTGTGTATGCGTCTGCTGTACAGTGGCTCGTGTAACCATTAAATATGTGTTATATATAGGATGATTCTGCCTCTTTTTTTAGGGGATTGTGCACATTATTTGGTATACAGATGTGTATATAGTGTATACCTTCTGTGTTTGTGTACATATACCGCAGTTAGGGTCACCCGTGTATATATTCTGGTCATTAGTATAAACATGATTTGTATGTAGTGTATACTGTGCTGTGTTCCATGTATGCAGTGGTAGTGTGCTGTGTTCCATGTATGCAGTGGTAGTGTGCTGTGTTCCATGCATGCAGTGGTAGTGTGCTGTGTTCCATGCATGCAGTGGTAGTGTGCTGTGTTCCATGCATGCAGTGGTAGTGTGCTGTGTTCCATGCATGCAGTGGTAGTGTGCTGTGTTCCATGCATGCAGTGGTAGTGTGCTGTGTATGTATGCAGCCACCAGTGACAGTATTACACCCCGAGGATCACCAATTTGGGTCCAAAAGTTTTTTAATGAACGATCACATAGTTACAGCAGGGCAACGTTTCGGCGTCTCGCAGGACCCCTTCATCAGGCATGTGAGATTCTCCCTTGCTGATTCTGTTCGGTTCCAGCCGACAGTCGCTGCTGCACCCACTTATACACACAGCCATTTTTAACGCAGGAACGTGTGCGTTTGGATTGTACACTTGCAGTACTACAGCGCGTTCACACCGATCCCGACTTTGAAATCGTGCGTCTTACAGTGAAGTTGCACGATTTCAAAGTCGGGTGTCATGCCGATTTGAGGTGCCTTGCCCCCCAGCCTCTTCACCTTCATCCAGGCAAGACATCTGACCGTTTTCTATGCAAATTGCACCAAAAGTAGTGCCTGCCCTACTTTAGAAACCGGTGCAGCTCCGACCAAGTCGGAACCGCACCGATATGACCGCTGAAATTGCAGACAATAGAGTGCGACTTGGCATGGGATTTGCAAGTCGCATGACATTGAAATCGCATGCCAAGTCGCACCTAGTTAATGTGTATGGAATGCACCTGTATGTTTTGGGGGGGTTTTCACCCAACTGTCTCTTGCTGTTTTAGGAGGAGCGCCCCCTGTGTCCACTGATGTGTTTCCTTTGCATCCGGAGCCCCAGACGCGGATATGCCGGGCGGGGTGCGCTGGGTGCCTTCCAGCGATCCCTCTGACTACCAGTCGCAGAAACAATGCAAGAGGACATCATTCGCCTTCTACCAGGCAGTGCGGGACCTGCTGCCGGTCTGGGTGCTGGAGGACATGCGGCTGATGGAGGCTCTGCACTGGGAGGAGGGTGGCCGGGTCAGCTCCTACACCCCCTCCGAAGCTCTGCTCTATGCACTGGTCCACGACCACTTGGCCTATGCCCGTTACCTACTCAGTCACTTCCCCCATGACGCTCTGGCCGTGCCCAGCAAAAGCTTCAGCTGCTGCCAGTCTGCGGCTCCCCATCTCAGCATGGCCGTACGCTACGACCGGGCGCAGATCCTGCGTGAGATCCTGGGCACCCTGCGGACCTTTCCCCCCTCCAACCGGGCTGCCTACCTCAACAGGCACGGGTGCCAGCGGGTGGAGATGGGGAAGACCCCCGTGCATCTGGCCTGCGAGCTGCAAAGAGCCGAGTGCCTTGCCCTGCTGTTGGGGCACGGCGCCTGCCCCTATGCCACGGACTGTAGCGGCGACACCCCGTTGGACTACCTGTTGCAGCTCATCCGCAGCAGCCCGCAGGACATGCACCTCAAGCGGCTGTGTCTGGACTCGCTCCTTCTCTACATGCCTGGGGGGCTACCCCCTGCCACCCGCCACAAACTGCGGGAGGACCGTGACACCCTGCGGGAGGCGCTGGGCCAGGAGCTGTACGCCTGGCTGACCGGTGCTTCGCCTCCCAGCCTCTTCACCTTATCTATGCAGAGCCTGCTCAGGGCCCTGCCAGCGAACAGATTCCCCGAGGCCCTGGAGGAGCTGCCCCTGCCCGATTTTCTGAGACCCCTGGCCTTAAAAAAGCAAATCCCAAAATAGAACCCTTGTAGAGGACATGTGCCTGGACTGCGCCTGCAGCAACCGCTTACGTGGACGCTGTTGATATTACCCAAGCCGTATTCTTTTACATTTTTACTCAACACTAATCGCAGACTTTCCTTTAAAGGAAAGGCAAAACGCCTGTGTGAGAAGCTGCTGATGGAAGCTGGCATTCCCCTGACTCACTAGTCCTTGGGCACTGACAATATGAAACTATTACATGGAATCACAGCTTCCGTCAGAAGCTTCAGATGCAGGTATTTTGCTTTGTGAAGTTGCCTTTTAATCTTTTTTTTTTTTTTTTTCCTAGAACTACAAGTATCAGCATGGACTCACATTTTATCTTCACCATGATTTCAATGGGGAAACACTGTATCAATACAAAATCTCTGTGACTTCAAGCCACGTTGAGACTTGTGGTTCCGCCAAAGTTTGAGAGGCTGAATAGCACTGGAGCTTCTATAGAACTACAAGTCTCAGCAGTCTGGAAGGCTCACCACACACATTACAATCTGATTGTACAATCCCCTTTAGATCCACCAACAGCTATGTAGTCTGTTGGATTGGCTGTGTCCTCATATGACATAGTTGGAGTAAATCTGAAGTTGATTGTATGGTCCGGTTTATATCATGAATGGTGAGCTTCGGTTTGGGATAGAGTAACGAGTGCTCAAAACTAGGGTTGCACCCAGGGGCGGACTGACCATTCGTACACTCAGGCACTGCCCGAGGGCCCGGGGTCAGTAGGGGGCCCCATGAGATGCCCCTGGTACCTTTCATATGCATTTGTGGGAGTGGTTTGAGAGTGGGCGAGGACACAGGGGCCCCATGATCCCCTATTGTCCGGGGGCCCCATGAGTCGTCAGTCCGCCCCTGGTTGCGCCGATACTAAGCGTTTGCACAAATACTCGTGCAAATTCTGCGATATCTCTGCGGTGCGATTTGAGCCCATAGGAATGAATGGGCTCAAATCGCACTGCAAAGAATTGCATGTGATTTGAACTGAATCACTCTACGTCAGCTGAAGAAGCAGTGCGATTTCTGTCCGAATCGCACGCGGTTTCCTTGCGGGCACAGTGCGATTCGAGCCATTCACTTTGTATGGGATCAAACTGCACTGCTCATGGCACCGTGCCCACAGAAAAAATGCATGTGATTCGGAAAGAAATGGCAGCTGAAGTAGCAGTGAGATTTCTGTCCGAATCACACGCGGTTTCCTTGCGGGCGCAGTACGATTTAAGCCATTAATTTTGTATGGGTTCAAACCGCACTGCAAATGGCACCGCGTCCACAGGGAAACCGCATGTGATTCGGATAGAAGTAGCAGCTGAAGTAGCAGTGCGATTTCTGTCTGAATCACATACGGTTTCCTTGCAAGTGTAGTGCGATTTAAGCCATTAATTTTTTTATGGATTCAAACCGTGCTGCAAATGGCACCGCGTCCACAGGGAAACCACATGTGGACAGAAATTGCTCTGCTGCTTTTTGCAGCAATTTTGCAGTGCGATTTGAGCCCATTCATTTTGTATGGGTTCAAATCGCACCACAAAGGTATCAGTAATTGATATCGGCAAGCACTTGAGCACAAGTATTGGTACAGTATCTGTGTAACTTTAGTAAAAAAAAAACAAAAAACCCTTGATAGTTTGTATTGGCTGTCTGTGTCCCTTTGGGGGAGATTCCCCTTCACTTCCTCTCCAGGAGACACAACCAGGAAGTGAGAGGAAATCCCTTTAGAGAGAGGGGAACAGGTGTCCCTATTGAAGGGTTCCCCCTCGCTTCCTGCATCAGTAAAAATTTTGGATTTTCAATCCAAGAGACAATGATCTCCAGGAAAAACGGAGGGGCTAAATGTTCCCAGACAGCAATAAAAACCCGACAAGGGTTCTCACCCTTTCAAGTTTTATCAGAAAAAAAAAAAAAGCTTTGGCTTTGGATATGCTTTAAAAAGCTGAAGCACACAAAAAGCCAATCAGATTCCAGCTCTTTGTTTTTTTTTAATCTTAGGTTTTTAAAGCATCTTATTGGCTGCCCTGGCACCCCCCAGACTTTGAAGCTTTTTGAGACCACTGAGGTGTTCCATTTTTACAGAATATATCTTTACACTGGATAATATTGTGAGCAGGGTGGGACAGTAGACCACAAATGTATTGTACAGATTGTATTGCTTGGGGCACTGTGAGGTGTATTTATAGAGCTATTCGTCCTTTGAAAATGCATGTACAAAATGGGCAAAATCAAATGTAATTAAGCTATTTTCTCTCCAGGGCCAATGTTCTTCTTCATACAGAGTGAATCAGGAAAATACTGCATTAGGGCCACTAGATGGAGGTAATGATCATAGAAAATAAATACTTATGTACTGTGATCGTCAGCTCCATCTAGTGGCTATAATGAGGTATTTTCCTGAACCACTCTATTTTGTATGAAGGATAACATTTGATGTGGAAAGGAAAAGTCTGATAACTTTTAGATTTTGCCCCATTTGCGCAGAATAAATGTACATGCAGTTTCACAGGATGAATAGGTCTGCAAATTTTTTTAACTATATACTCCTTGGTTTTACTCCATCTGCCTCTCTGCTTTACGGACAGAAAATAAATAGTACAGGGAGTAATGTAATTATTTCCATGATGGTCGCTCTCACTGTAGCGGACTTCAGAGCACTTGGCAGAGGCCCGCGGTGACTGGGACAGATCAGAGTGACTTATTGTGCTATTTTTTTTGTCACAAAAAATAATATCACATTTACCAAAGCATTTTATTACACCACCCCCCTCCCGCTAGTACCTTCATTGTAGAAATGTAGAGCAAACATACACATAAAGAAATATTAATAGTGCATAAGTAAACACACTAGTTGTGTAACAGTATTCAAATTATGTGAAAAAACATCAATATAAGTAAATACAAAAAAGAAAATGCAAATAAAAAGTCCCAATGAAGAGCCAAGAAAAATTAGTGATCTTCTCAGAGTGCAACAAAAAGGGGAAAGATGTAAGTCTGAATAAACCTCCAAGCATCAGGCACGTGCCCCTGATGACATCACTTGTGACGAAACGCGTAGGAAGGAGCTGGAACACACGCCACTACGCATGCGTGAACTGCTTGGCCTTATTTGATCCTGGCATAAGCATATTGTATGGAATTGGAAGCACTTTTTTTTTTTTTTCATCTGCTCATTGTAAGTGTATATACCATAATAAATCCTCAATGTTTGCTGATCTTCACTATGGATAGTGTTCTTTTTCTCCTATGACGTCGGTTCTGTTCGGCATGAATCTATTGAGGGGCTGAGCTTTGAACCACAGTGTATGGATATAGCGGTGTGGATGCCACTCATGCTGCTGGAGCAAAGCTGATTGCCTTGGAGTCTATATAGAGCACTATTTGACCACTCTTGGGGGTCATAATTCCGGTAAGCCCCCCTCTCTGTTGCATCTTGAGGTGGTATGCGGTCTTGTTGTATGGAGAGACTTGGAGGTTTATTCGGACTTACATCTTTCCCCTTTTTGTTGCACTATGTATGTTTACTCAAGCACTGTTAATATTTGTTTGTGTATTTTCGCTGCAACTTTCCATAATATATTTGAGTACTGTGTATCGGAGCATAGTGCTAGCTGTTCATACTTTTGGGGTCCTAGCATGTTCTTTCCATTTCTTTAGTACCTTCATTGTGCTCCCCTGCCGCTTGATTAGTGTCCTCAAAAATGTTGGTACTTCGGGGTATGGGGGAGCATGTGACCTTCTCCCCTTCCATGGAGCAAGACACAGGCCTGAGTGGCCAATCAACATTCCTAAACACCACTATGTGGGGGAGGAACTCATTAGCCCTGTGTAAGCTCTGACATGGAGCTTACACAGGGATTAGACTCAGCACTCTGCTCAGGCCAGCGGGTTCATGGTGAAGGAAAGTATCAGTGGGTGATATAAGAGAGGCAAATGGAGGAAAGCACCATGCCCTGGTCAGTGTTTATTAATTACTGCTTACTTTGCACTCAAAAGATGTTTTTGAGTTTTTATTTTTCGTAATGAAACTTTATTTTGTATAGCTGATTTTTTTTTTTTTTATGTAAAATAAAGGGCTACAGTTTTGTTATAGAAACCATTGGCTGAGTACAAGAAAGAGAAATAGGGCAACTGGCATGGTGGCCCCTTTTCTCCTGGGCCACGGCCTGGTGACCTGTCAGCGGCGGATAATGTAGTATTGGCTAAAGGATAATGGGGGACATTTCTAACCATGAAAATCACGCAGTCATCCAAATAATACACAGAAGTTGTCCTGTCTACAGATTGAACAATGTTTGTTAATGTCCCCAATTTAGCCGAATGTATCATAGTAACTGAAATAGGAACTGCATTGCCCATAGCAACCAAAGAAAATTTGCCTTAAGAGTCGCTGGAGTCAAGAAGCTCATTGGTTGCTATGAGCGACACAGGCAGTTTATTTTTCAGGCACTTTTGTATGTTTGGCCTGTTTTATCATAAGCTCTAGGTTTATTATGTAACGGTGCACTCGAAAAAAAAAAGGGTGAGCTGTGCAAGAAGTCCTTTTACTTCAAAAAATGGAGGGCCTGTCACCTGAGGGTGGAAAAGTTGTCGTCTAAACCAACCATTGTAGACCTAATGAATGAGTCCCAAAGCAGAACTGCATGCGTTACGTCACTAAACAAAATCAATGGTTTTTGGTATGCATCCATTTTGTTTTTTGTGGAAATACAGTCAGGTCCATAAATATTGGGACATCGACACAATTCTAACATTTTTGGCTCTATACACCACCACAATGGATTTGAAATGAAATGAACAAGATGTGCTTTAACTGCAGACTGTCAGCTTTAATTTGAGGGTATTTACATCCAAATCAGGTGAACGGTGTAGGAATTACAACAGTTTGCATATGTGCCTCCCACTTTTTAAGGGACCAAAAGTAATGGGACAGAATAATAATCATAAATCAAACTTTCACTTTTTTTATACTTGGTTACAAATCCTTTGCA